GCTGTACACATTCTCTCTATGTTCATAAGTATTCAGTGAATAGAAATATGTGTGTTCTTATGTAATTCTGACTTATGGCAAAGTTTTCCTTACGCGCATATTGCGATGCATTTATCTCTAATGCGCAGAAACAAATGCATACGAAGTTTACAAATATGTAGTTTATGGCATATGCATTTCCGAATATTACTGATAATCTTTATTACTTAATATTATCCATAAATTTCGTAAATTATATCATTTAGTATATTTTAAACATTAAAATGCATAGAAATGCAAATGTTAATATTTCACTAAAACTATCATTCTTTTAAAAAATTTTTTAAATTAATATTTCTAAAATAATTAAACATTATTTAAGTAAAAATCACCTAAGTTTTTTACTTATCTGATATACATATGCAATATCAAATATATCATAAAAAAATTATGTAGGATCATTTATCAGTAATTTACGGATTTCAAAGAGCAGATATTTAAAAAATGATTTCGCAGCACCAGTTTACATCAGTTTACAAGGAAATAATAACAATATTGCTGTATATTATTAGATTTACTGAAATATTATATAATCTTTAGTATTCAATTTATTAAATATTTATAATAAATAATTATTATATTGTACTTAATATCCAAATTTTAGTTAAACTTAATGTAAAGCTAATACTGAATAATCCACTCCTATTTTGTCAACAATTTCAACAATCACAACAATAATCACATTTTGACAAAGCTTAAACAAGTACGTTATTATACATATTATCTTTAAGATTAAATCAATAAAAAAAAAGATTTTCCTTGCAAAAAGATCAAATTATTAACAAAAAATAAGATAACGTTCACTTACCGATACGCGAGACACTTTCGTTCTGAAATATAAGTATATATATATAGGCAATAAATTATAATATTTATAAGAGAAGTCAATAACAGCACTTGTCTGCAGTACATATAATTTTAAATTTGATTAAATTCGAAATCGAAAAGACTAATTTCTATAAGATAAGTGAGTATTTCGTATGATTATTACAAATAAATTCATATATTAAGAATTAAAAAAATTATAGTATCATTCACTTGTACATATATTTTTACCAGCATACTACCATTTCATAGACTTTCTTTATATGTAATAAAAATAAGCAAAAGTATGTAATTTATTAAAATTCTTAACTTGATTCATACATATTTCTGATATGTGACAAAAATTAATTTATAATGTGCACATCGCATAATTTAAAAAATAGTAATGATTTAAATAAGAATTTTGTAAAATTGAAGATTACTTTAATATTACTTTAATTATATTCATTTAAATTTATGAATACAAATATACTTGAATTTTTAGAAATCATATCAATTATTTCACTGTAAATCATCATTATTATTATTTTAATTTTATTAATTGTTAGAAAATAAACTTTCTTTGAAGATATATTTAATGTACTTTTGGTATTGTCTATATATCAGATAATATTATACATAAATCAAATGCAACTTACCCAGCCATTTTACGTAACTATTTAGGAGAGACACAACTCCTCTCATATCCCATACATACGCGTACAAATCGTATAATAACTCACGATTATTACAATATGTGAGTCTTTGGAATAATCTATTTACCGCATTACACATGTCGTTCAATTTAGCTGCACGAAGATGCCATTCTTCAATCTGAAATTATTTATTATATATAGTGTGATATCAAGCTTGTTGAAATAAATTTTATAATGCAACTCACATCTGATTCAGACGCTTGTTCTTCTTCCTTGGACTTCTTCATAACAACATAAGCGTTGCTTTTTAGCCAATTAAATTCTTGTAACAATTGAATTCCTTGACCCCCATGCTCAAATGGCAAATAAAACAGATCACATAAAAGCGACAAATCCTCATGCGTAAGTTGTTTTTCGATATCTACAGGTTCCTGTGATACCGCGTCCGTGTTGTCGGAATTCTCGTGATTTTCGCTATCATTTTCTATAATCATTTGTGTACCATTGACTGTAGGAGAAGCACCATCCACTTCTACTTGCATACTTCCGGAAGCTTCGCTACATGTCTAGCAAACAGAAATCGTACGGTTATACATGCATAATTAAATTCCCGAAAATTTTTAATGACTTACAGAAGAATTATCTACCATAGCGTCATCCTCTGCTGGAATTTTTGCTATATGTGCGGGCGAATTGTTTGGAGTTGTATTACAGTCCATAGGTTCTATAGTAGACAATCCTGTTGAGGGTGATTCATTGCTCATATTGGTGGATAATGTAGTCAGGACAGGCTCGCTGATTACTTTTATATCTGACACTAAAGAATTCATCACAGGCCCAGATGAAGGCTGTACGAAGCTATCGCTACTTGTCACACTTGAGCAAACTTCGGCCAATGCTTGAAGATGATTAGAATTCGTCCCAGGCGTAGGCGTGGCAGGAACTGTGGTTGTTGTCGTTGATGTAAGACTCATACACGTGTTCACGGAGGGAATGATTGGAATAGGTATTGTAGGCGCGACACATGGTTGCGGTTTGACTATTACTCCCCAAGCTGCTTTCTTCTTATTAAACTCTAATAACCATTCACTTATTGCATTTTTCAAAGCATGTCGAGGATGATACATATTCGGTGATAATGTCGATGGAACATCTTCACCAAGAACGCCATCCTCTGTCTCGGTTTCTAATTTAATATCCGCTGATACAGTATCATCTGTAGAATAATCAATTTCTATATATATGTGTACACTTATTATATATATAATATATATAACAAGGTATTATATTAATTCATTATAGAAAATTAAAATTAAAAGAATAAAATGTACGAAAAGATTGAAAATAAAATTTACATTTTAATGTATTAAATTCATATTAGAGCTTTTCAATTGATGACATAAATTGACATAAGCATTATTCTATCTTTCTTGACATTCAGTGAGTAATAAAGATAGAACTACACTTGTGTTGATTTGTCATCAAATGGAAAACCCATTATCTTGCTACAATTTTAACTCAAAAGTTTATCTTAGAAAATTTATAAAATAGAATGCAGCAAAAATCTTACTTAAACTTAGATCTCTCTTTCCATCCACATTACATCTGCTCCATTGAGCCAGTGTATGAATTGCTATAAAATTCGCTCCATATTCGCAATTAGGATTAGTTAAAACTCCTCTAAGCTTAGGTATAAGATCAGGAGAACGACCAGAATATGGTCCAAGAAACACTCTTTTCTGATCATAATCGTTAGCATGTAAATTATCCCAAATAACAGGTGGTCTCCTGAGCACTTCTGTGATTTCTTCAATTGACTCCACTGTTAAAAGTCTCGATATGACTTTAGGCCCAGTCCACATTATATCAATTTCCTGAGCTAGTTTACTTCCAAGAGTGTTGAGATATTCCGAAGATGCAACATTTGGCATCGCACGTGTTGCGCAATACTGTGTAGGGCACAGAAGAAAACGAGGTTGACCAAGATGTTGAAAAATATCATTTGTGACAGAAACCTGTAAAAATAATAACAATATAAAAACAATATATTATATAGAATAATGCATTATATATCTCCATATAAGAGAATTCATAATCAACAAGTTGTAGATTTGATTTCCATTTTACATATGTTTTAATTTATAAAAGATTGATTTAAGATTCAAAGATGGTAAATAAAGAAATCATAACTTGTTTTGGTAACATTAAATTAACATACATGCAGAAATATTAATAAACATTAAACTGCTATTAGAACTTGCATATATGAATATTGTACATTGTACTGCATACATACTTGAGCATGTGCAAATGATTGAAATATTTCTTTATCAGCTTCACTCATTTCTGGTTCTATATCATCGAATAACAATGCAAATGCTGTGCAACCAAACTGACTGACTTGTTCCAGTTTTCTCTTCAAAGCAGTGACTTCTTTTGAACTGGAATAAGTAATATCTAATCCCGGAGATAATGCATAATAAAAAGTTATTCCATATTCCCTAGCAGCTGTGATTAAACCAGTCAGATGTTCAGCTTCTTCTACTGTGTACAAATCTCTCCAATAAGCACGATGTTTATAATCATCTTTCGGCGCATACAAGTAAGAGTCCATTCCCCATTTTTTCAATCTAGTAATATGTATAATTTACAGTAATAAATTAATTAATGTTTACAATAATAAAAAAACTAATATATTTAGAAATTAGAAGAAACATGATGTTCCTTGCAATAGAATTCATAAAAAAATGACTGCTAAATGTTTCAGCTTTACAAATTCCTCTTTGACGGAAATGCATTTAGGACGAGAGCTTACTTTTGAAAAAGATCCTTTCGCTGCTCGGTGGTCCATGGTCGTCCATAGAAACCTGCAAACGAAGAAATATGTTAAACGCCTGGGGACAGAAAAAAAGAAGCAAGTATCATATACCATAAGAGGTTTGGGCTACATTTCCCAACAAGTATGGGATCCGGTATACGCGATCTGTCCACATACCTTCCACAACGCCGCAGATAAAGTTACCGTTCTTCGTGTTGAGATTCGCGGCTCCGTTCGTCTCCGTCATCGCGGATCGCGCGGGACAGGCACGTCCGCTCTCGAGAATCCAGGAGACAGTTGGAGACAACGGGATAGCCCGCGGTGTGTTATAAATTCCCCTTGGAAAGGAGAGGGGTCGGGAAGAGAAAGAGGAACCTGTGGGATGATCACGATGAGCCCAACGCGACACACGACGTGGACTCGATGTGATTACACGATTGTGGGGTAACACACGTCGCTACGTATACGTCGCACGACGTAATGGCATAACTCGCGTCGCCTCCGAGATTCCTGGGAATCCCGAGAGAAAATGTTCAGGAGTGAGGATCAGTGAATCTGACAAACTGCACCCGATACGCGCCGATCGATACCGCCGAACGATCTGTCGATCCATCGAGGCCACGAACGGCACGAATACGACGGACACAGAAGAAACAGACGATGCTTCTTGCACGCCGCGACGGCAGTATCTGATACTTCTGACAATTGTGAGGAAAATCTTTCCGTCAGAGATGATAAAGTTTCCCGTCGTCCTATTCAGGTGCGTTCCGTTTTACGCATGATGCGCATGATATATCATATTGTGTATCTTTCTTTAATATTCGATCAACAACAAGAATGATACATCATGCGCACGCTGAGAAAAAAATTGTTCTTTTGACTTAAATTTATTTATTTATTTATTTATTTGTTTATGTTGAAGAATGTATGTATTTTTATGTAAAATATAATATATTTGATTTGAATACATACATTCTTCAATGAAAGAAACTAAATTAAATAGTCAAATAAAGAAGCATTATGCGAGAAACGGAATACACTATTGATTTTCCTTTATGCCCCAAAAACGACTTTGACCAACTTGCACTCCGGTTAACTCGATCAGCGATTATTAACTAGCAGAATCGCTTTTATAGCGAAAATTTTAATTTGTCGATGTAATATTTTTTCTTATGCATCAAACAAATCAATATTTCAATACAAAATATTAGGAAATAATTTTATATATTCAAATTATTATAAAATATTACAGAAGTACCACTTGAAGCAATTTCTATTACATATATTTAGTCTGATTAACTTAATCAGCATTATTTTTATTAAATAATGTACAAAATTAAATTAAATAGAATTAATTATTATGTTTAATGTATCAAAAAAAGATTAAAAACAATAAACTATATATTAAAGATTTCTTAGGCGATTCTGCGATCGACTTAATTGCGTTTAAATTAATAATAGTTTGACCGATTTCGCCCTTGACAATTGTCGATTAAGTTAATCGAAATTTGATCAAAGTCCTCAAACTGAACGAGATGTTTCTAGATAAAAATGCGTCGAATTTACATATATTAATTTAAACAGTATATCGTTTAGAAGCGCGGAACCTATTTTACTAAATAATTTGATATTATGTATAATATTTATCAAACATTTATCAAACCAGATATAACTTCAATTCAATAGAGACACATATATATTATATGTATAGGATCAAAAATGAGAACAAATGCCTCCTTTTCGCCTAAATGTTCGTGCATTTGATTATTTGAGAAAACTATTAATTATTTTAAAAACCAAGCAAATTTCGAAGCAATTAGAAGTGACATTTTGTAGATTTTAACATATTAATTTTGACAAAAAAAATATAATTTAAATTAATAATAATAATATATTAGGTGTTGGAATTAATTCGTAGCGTTTTACAAGTGATGGGAAGTACTTTCATTAATGTATTTTTTAATGCTCATGTGAAATAAATAACATTCTTTCATTAAAAAACGCTACGAATTAATTCCAATACCTAATAATAGAATTAATAACATAATAACAACACAATAATAATAACAAATTAACAATATATATGTAAATATTTAAATAGAAAATGCATTTCTGTCCGTAAATGTATAATAAACAATGAGATTTTCAGGTGATCCTATGGCGCATCTAGAATACACCATTTAGAGATTTTCTGCCGCGATTATCGAGCAGCGCCGCGAGATGTCGCCACAAGTATCATCTTCCACTTTCAAAATTTCGCGAGTTGCAACTTGCGCGAGTGATCAGCGAGTTCGCGCCATTTTCCACAAAATGCAGTGTACAATTATGTTGTTGTGCTCGCATTCGAGTAACGTGTACTTGCGAAAATAATTATTGTCCATACTTTCGTGCAGCGTTGGTCTTAGGAGCAACCGGACATGCCAGAAATAAACTTGAGTAAGCTGCTTAGACGTATAAATAAACGCTATCGCGATATGAATAAGAGCGCCATTTCTACAATACATGCTTGTGATATTTCCGCTCTCGATGAATTTTGCGTTTTGTAAACACGCGATATTACGTTACAATTTATACCATCATTTGAATTTCGCGAAAAGTTCACGCCAATGGAAATCTTAACATATCAACACGCACGTAATTGATAAAAACAAATATTCATTAAAAATAATTACATTGATTTTAAAAATAAATCCCGTATAAAAATTATATATAAAGATTACGATTCTATATAACTGAATATAATTTTTTAATTATCGATTTTGTACATTGATGGCGAATTGATAATTTGCGAGTGATTTATGCGAATCTTTTGTATAAAAAATTATAATTTTATACATCATTTCAGTCTCATAAGAAATATTAATCTTGTTCTTGATATTTGAAAGACGTAAAAGCGGACATCGCGTTCTCTGAAGAGAATGGAATGTGCGCGCAAATTTACGGTCACCCTATATCTTGTAAGTAGTTTGTGTAAGTAGTCACGGTATCGCATTCGTCAGACAATGAATCGACGTCGCTCGATTGAGGACATCGCATCCGTTTCTCTCTCTCTCTCTCTCTCTCTCTCTCTCTCTCTCTCTCTCTCTCTCCTCCTCTCTCTTTCTCTCTCTCGCTCTCTCTTCCCGTTATCGGCAGGTTTCCAGACATAAGACGTTACACATTCGTACTCGAATCAGAGAAGCGTAAACGTTCTAGATTAAATTAAATTTTGTTGTCCATTTCTATCAATATAGATTAACTTTATCTCAATTTAACTTACTTTTTTTATCTTTTTATTTGCGAAAATATGTGTGTACGAATTACATTTGTGTAGTAAACGAGTTTTCTAATCTTAGAAATAGATAAAAAGCAAGTTTAACTGAAATTAAACTAATCTACATATATTGAAATGGACATTTAGACGACAATCATGGAACGCAATACAATTTGCTTCTCTTTTACTACACAAATGTGATTTCGCGTACTTTTGCGAATAAAAAATCTAGAAATCTAGGATTAAATAAAATAAATAAATGCGTGACAACTGAACAAATGAAGAATCAATTATAAGCATTTTTATTCAACATTTTAAACATTTACATGTTTTAAAAATGTTTAAAATTGTCATGTAAATATAATTGAAGTGTAAATATAATTAAATGTGAAAAGAATTGAAGAGTGTAAATATTAGACACGTTTCCAAATTTAATTTACTTTATAGGGACTGATACGACCAATACATTCTTAAATCATGTGCCAATAATCTAAACATTCTTTGAGTCGTATATGATATAGTTAGTTTAATATACTTTAATATAGTTAAAGCAGCAGGTAGAGATGCAAAAAAACGTATTTTTTATTTTGGAGAAAATTATCAAGTAAAAAACTAGTTTTTTATTATAAAAATCGGTATTTTTGCTCAAATTACATAAAATTCATGAAAAACCTTAGAATTCATGTTAAATAGAAGAAGAAATATGTAGAACAAAAAAATTCATTTTTCTTGTTATTTCGATACTTTATAAAACTTTTGTCTTTATAATTTTATATCAAAACGGAAATATGTATTATTGGCAATATTACAATTCTTGATGAGGTGATAATAAGTTAATAAGGTTGATAATAAGTTAATAATAATAGGTCTGTTTGCGTTGCATTTTTTGCATTCGGTATCTGTGTCTTCTCTATTCAACGCCCGAATCTATTTTTCTAATATCATTTTAAGTGCAAAAATTTTGGGGGATTTCAAGCAATGCGAACAGATCTAAATGACCTAAAAAAAATATCTGAGTAAAAAACTGTCAAAATAAAAGAAAAAAAAATTTAATTTCCGAGTTTTTTACCCTAAAATTCTAGTATTTTCCATCGTTTACATCTCTAAGCAGGTATAAAGGAAGCAAGGTTACGTTAGCGATTTCAAGTAGGTATAGCTGAGTGCATGATAACTGATTGCATTTCCAAACTGATCAGTTAAATGGAGTGTGATACATGACGTGTTCGCAGCCTTCTCTGAACTAGAAGGAAGCAAAATAGAAGAGCCTTAAAATAGATAGTACAATCATATCGCATTCCATCGATAAAAACGTATCACTAACAACCGATTTCCGGTAGTCTTTAATTCTAACATAAAGGTTGCAACGCTGTCAGATTACAGATTAAGTTAAACGATTAATGTCCGTTTTCACTAATATATAGTTTAATTTTAATTTTGATTCAATTAACTCTTTATCTTTTTCCAGTTCTAAAAATTAGAAAAACAAGAAGACCAAATTAAACTGAGATTGAAGTTACAATTTAAGTTAAACGTGTCCCTTATTGCAATATCTTCTTGCAAACTACTGATGTATTTTCAAAAAAATTTTTCTATAACAAAAAATACAATATGTCATCCTTCATGAAGTATATCACATAAACCGCGTGTCGCTCTCTTCTCAGATAAAGGAGATGTGGGAAATGTTAAGGATTATAGAAATAGAAGACTCCTGGGGAAAAGGATAAGTCTCTGTATCAAGGATTGCGTTTCAGTCGCTTCCAGGTAGCATCGCGGCGCGGCGCCCGGGTCGTTGTGACGAGAGGGTGGTGATTTTTCGCCCTGGAGTGGCGCGAGGGGAATGGAGAACACACGACCGGGCCGCTGCTGTTGTCACGACGCGTAGCCATATCGGGAGAGCAGTGCGAGGCCGGCTATCAGCCGCCCAACATCGACGTGTCGGGATTACGCTTGCATATGTAATACGGCTGCTGCATAGGCAGTACGTACACGTTACCGTCTAGAGTCTAGAGTCTAGACCGACAGACAGACAGACAGACAGACGGATGGATAGATAGACAGACAGGTAGACAGATAGGCACATACCACACACACACACACACACACACACACACACACACACACACACACAAACACACACACACACACACACACACACATAACGGCACACTCTTTGCTCTCCTCCACCCCCATGCGTGATACCACCACCGTATGCGTCTCGTTCTTTCGAGTTCACACATGGAAGAATAAATAGAACGAGCAGGAGGGAACAGTGAAATTTCTTTTTCATCTCGGTGGAAATTGGAGGGGACGAGGCACTTTGCAAATCCGTACGGCATGCGTCGTGATCGATAAGGGCGAGTGGAGGGCTGGTGCACACCATCGTCGTCTTTCATAGTAAAAGCAGCAAAAAGGGTAGTTGCTTCGCGTCCCGCGTTGAGGTCGAGAGATGACTGGGAATTCCAATAGGCGGAGAGTGCGACGAGGTAGCGCGCGATAGAGGACGACAGGAGAAAGAGAGTGCAAGTGGGCGAGGCGAATGAGAGAGAGAGAGAAAGAGAGAAAGGGGTGAAAAGAGGGAAAAGAGAAGACGAAGAGATAGATAGATAGATAGAGAGAGAGAGAGAGAGAGAGAGAGAGAGAGAGAGAGAGCTGTGAAACAAGAAAAGAAAAGTGATGAATAAGCCATAAAATAAGAAGAGTCGTGAAAAAGATTACCAGAAGAAAACATCAATCGAAATAGAAAAAAAAAGAAGGAAGAAGAAACGTGGGTAGTGAGAAGAAGAAAGACAGAAAGCCTGGCAAAACTCGAGAGGGAAGAATCGAGTGAGCGAAAGAGAGGGGAGAGAGACAGAGAGAGGAGAGCTTGCGCGAGAGGCGGAGGAACGTGGAGGAGGACCGACCGTGGTACCGAATGTGGCGTTCGGAGTATGGTATTCGCCAGCCGGGGCCAACCGACGTCGAGCAGCCAGTTTCCACCCGCGCTCGATTCACGGAGTCGTCATCATCGCTGTCGGCGAGTCGCGCACTCGGCGGACGAGATCTCTCGTCGTTAAGAATCGCAGCCGCCACCCGGTAGAATCCTGTCTATCTACCCTGCTCATCGGTATTCGTTCGAACCGAGTCATTCCTAGACGACGACGACGACGACGACGACGACGACGATGACGACGTCTCTCCATCAATAATCGAACAGCGATACAAAAGAGTCCTTCCGGCGACAACGACGACGACGACGACGAGGACGAGGACAGCGACAAGAACGACAACGTTGACGACAACAACGGCGACCATCACCACAATCACGACCACGACCACGACCACGACCACAATCACGACTACGACGAAACGACGACAGTGTCACCATCACGCGAGCCGTGTGTCATCGAGCGGATTCGGCGGGGCGACCACCAGGATCCCGTTCCATTTGCTGTGAGAGTGCGACCACGTCGGACAGTGCGCGATGATGCGATCGCATCCACTACGACGACGACGACGACGAGCGATCACGATCGAGTGAGAGTGCAACGGAAGAAGAGCAGCACGTCGCGATTGAACTTACATCATCGTCACCGAAGGTAAACGTGTCATCGCATAAAGACTCGTGATGACGCTCCGAGAATTCAAGATGATTCTTCGAGACGAACGTTAACGAGAGTACTTGGCTGACACCAAAAAGATCCCTACTTTCTCCTGTAATTCAAACACTTTGAACACCTTATACGGATTCACTATATACTCCAACTTATCAGAACGGCGCCTGTCAATGCTCCATGTTATTATCAGGGCAACGAGAGGAATAAGAACTATGACAAACCTCGGATGCATCATCGGCGCAAGGAGAAGATGGACAATGATCAACCGATACGACCCATTAGGATCCGAGAAGAAAGTCGCGTGTCGCGTCACTACGTCGCGACACTGAGCGACTACTGAGAGCACGCGCCCAGTCCAGGCCAGGCGAACCTCGTCTTCGTGAGACGAGGCGGTCGTGTGTGCCGGCACACAGTCGGCGGTCGGCACGGGCACGGGGAGGACGATGGCATCGCGCGCCGCGCGCTCCCCCAGGAAGCCGACATCGCGGAAGAGCTCGCGCGCGGATACGCGTCACGGCGCGGACAGCAGTACGAGCACTACGAGCCGTCGTCGACCGGAGTCACCAGTAGTAGCAGCAACGATCAAACAC